ATCAACTGTGGCCAGCAGTGACCACTTTCCTGCAGAGATTAGCTCCAACCCTGATAAAACACACCTGAACCAGCTAATTAAGGTCTTACTTGGTATACTTGAAACTTCCAGGCAGGTGTGTTGAGGCAAGTTGGAGCTAAACTCTGCAGGACACCGGCCCTCAAGGCCCGAGTTTGGTGACCCCTGATTTATAGCCTTAACAGCAAAAAATTCAAAATATTAATAAAAATATTTAATAAAAAATAAAATTATTTTATTTTGTCTTGTTTCATTGGCAGATTTGATTAAAGCCCCCACATGAAGTTTTGTGTATTTTCATGACTTTGGTGCCCCCTAGAGTTAAGTGATTGAAATTCATTGTCGTAATTAAATTGAATTAAAGTGCCTCTATTATGCCATTTTTAAGGTTGCTAATATTGTTTGAGTCTCCTAAAACAGGTTAACATGCATGCATGGTAAAAAAAAAAAAAACACGTTAGTTTTCTCAAAAAATTGATTTAATTTTACCTCATTTCTAAATGATTCGTAAACGCCTTGTGCGAAGCAGTTCAAAGCTGTGATTGGCCAGATGGTGCAGTCCTTTGTGATTGATCCAGAGCCGTAGAGAGATTGGCTCTGGATTGGTCTAGCACATACAGCGCGCGTGTCAGAAACGAAATGCCTGTTGCCATGACGGAATGACAGCCCTGGAGACTTATCAATAGATAGAAAAGATGGTATTGATTGTACCTTACCAATTCGAGCCGGAGTCTGATGATGAAACGGTTGAACTGGCTGATCGACAAGAGACTGATTCGCAAGCACGACCGGAGCAGGACGTTTCTCAGTGGTAAGTGTTAACAAGTTTGTGGTAATTATAAGATGTGATAAAACAAATTTACTCTCACAGCGTAGGATACAGCATCTTCTCAACATGATGTTAACCACACGGAAATTTTACTGTGTTTGTGGGCAGGCAAGTTGGTGACGTAGAACGTGGGCGGACATTATACAAATGTGTTACTTCGTGACGTAGAGCCGTAACAGAATAAGATTTGAATTCCTGACGACTCGTTTAGGCGATTGCGAGCCGACTCTTTTTTTTTGATAGACAATAACTTTATTTATCGTGCACTGTCGGCTTCACAACTTTGCAGATAGTTTATGTTCGACCCTCTAACTCTAACACTTTCTATTCTATTTATCTTCTTTTTTTTAAAGAAAAACACTAGCTTTCTATTTTTTCTATTCTATCTGTGTGTGTGTATATGTGTGTGTGTGTGTGTGTGCGTGCGTGCGTGCGTGCGTGTGTGTGTGTATATATATATATATATATATAATCGTTGCTGTCTGGGAGTGGAAGGTCATTGCTGTGTCTTTGCTTGTCTTGTACCATTTTGCATAGCAGCTCGAGTTAAATTCATATACTTTTTAAAATGCACAAAAGCGTTCAATTACGTTTTATGCAAGCATGTGCAATATCTAGCACATTGGGCTTTATTTCACCATGCAGACTGTTTAAAATGTACAGAAGGAAATACTTTTATCAGTATTGTGAGAAAACCCTTCTCATATGTTTTTTTGTTTTTGACATCAGAATCAATATGAATAATAATTTTGGCGCTATGTTGGTTCATCACTTGATTTCCAATGTAAAATCTGCATCTTTGTGCAAAACCATTTGAGAACCACTATGTCAGACCCAGTGGTGTATTTAGTATAGTGTGAGTACGACTCCTAGTGGATGCAAGTAGAAGTGCATGAAACTTCTGGACTGTTTTATATGAATATTTGCATAACCGGATTAGTCAAAATCACATGAAGATTAGAATAGTCAGATTTAATTAGTGCACATGTATAAACAGTGTTCAAGTCATTTTTCAGTTTGTCTTGTTTCACTGGATGCAGTTTTGTTATAGCAGGATTTCACATTCCCTTCAGACAGCTTTGAGCTTGCTGGGGCTTCACCTAAACCAGGTATTAGAGTACGTATGTGATTTCAGATGGGAATCTTTGTGGTGGCTTGTGAAGTGCGGAAAGAAGGTGCTCTTGTTCTGTGTGTAGTGCAGTAGCAGTTAGACAAATCTTTTGTGAATAAGACAAAATCAGTCTGTACTCTCCAACAACATTATGGACAATTATTTACAACATGCAGAATAGTGCAAGGCAAAAAAAAAAAGTAAAAAAAATTTTGTAAAAGCATAAACAATAATAATTTTTATTAGCGGCAGTTTAAAGAAAAAATGGAACAAATCTTAAGTGCACATAGTAAAACTGATATTTGAAAGCGTTTTTTTTTTGAAAGTTAAAGGAAACTTTTCATTTATTTTACTTTGGTGTTTTAAAATAACTTTAAAATAAAAATTAATAACAACTATATAGACTATATTAATAATAATTGCACTTTCGGCTTCACAACTTTGCAGATAGCTTATGCTCACATACAGCTACATGACACAATGCATGAAAGGTAATATTTGAAAAGGCATAATAGGGGGACTTTAAAACAATACATTTTACATTTACATTTAATAATTTAGCAGACAGTTTTATCCAAAGGGACTTACAAATTAGGACAATAAAAGCAATCAAAACTAACAAAAGAGCAACAATATGTATGCAGAATAGTGCAAGGCAAAAAAAAAAAGTAAAAAAAATTTTGTAAAAGCATAAACAATAATAATTTTTATTAGCGGCAGTTTAAAGAAAAAATGGAACAAATCTTAAGTGCACATAGTAAAACTGATATTTGAAAGCGTTTTTTTTTTGAAAGTTAAAGGAAACTTTTCATTTATTTTACTTTGGTGTTTTAAAATAACTTTAAAATAAAAATTAATAACAACTATATAGACTATATTAATAATAACTATATATATATATATATATAAAACAAATTCAAACTATTTAATAAAAATGATGAGTGTCTCAATTATACTAAAATAACTAAGCTTTTCATCATTTTTATATTCAATGTAGTCTTTCAATTCATTTGAGGTCATACATTATTTTGCATAAAGAATGGGAATAAATACATTTGCAAAATGCTGTTTGAAATAGTTTGGGTTTTTCATGTCAGTGCATTTTCTTAAATGAATCCAGTCATAACTCAGTAAAAGAGAAGCTGTGGGTGTCAGTTCACTGCTATATCCTGTGGCTATGTCTTCAGGTAAAACTCAAGATTTATATTCCCTGGTCTTTAATTAGATCCAGATCTAGCACATGGCAGGCAAATATTCTACCACTATATTGATTAGATGGTCAGTTTATTTGGCAAATTCCATTTATTAAAACCCACCAGATCTGTGGTTATGTCATCAGGTCTTGTGATAGTTGGGTTGAGTTGGCATGTACAGATTATAGAGACAAACAGGCTCTCAAACACAACATCAGGCTAAGAAGGATAAGAGTCCATGATAAACAATGTTGTGTGCTGATCCTGCTAATGGGCCTGGAATCAGCATGAACTGGGACTTCAAACTCTTGATCTTTATGGTACTGTCCGTGTTTGAGTGACCACAGTGAGCATTTATATCTCTCTTGATCGTCCTGGATGTTTAGGACACTTGTGATGTTGAACGTTCCATCAGAGTTCACCAGGCTTGTGACTGTAGAGCTGGAAGTCAGGTTCTTGTCATAATGAAACCAGTTTATCATGCCTTCTGGGTACATACCATTAAAGCTACACTGCATTTGTTTGGGTTCAGCCATCTGGTGGGAGAATTCTCCGGTGCATTGTCCTGCGTTAAATACAGTTACAAACACAAGGTATAAGAGTTAATGATGTGATGCTGAGTATTTGTGTGCAGATCTATACATTTATCCAAAAATATTTTAAATATGCAATTAATACAAACAATGACTTGAATGCATGATTTTAAGTAAGTAAGATGCCTTCTGATATTTTTGATATTTGCATGATATCTGGCTATTTTTCTGGAGTCAAAAATGTCAGGATAGTGTAACCAGATGTCGTAATAAAGAATTATTGAACAATACTTTTAGAACAATTTTAATTAAATGCTAAAAATGTTAGAAAAAGAAAATGAAGATAGACTTGCACAAACAATTATTAAATATTATTATAAAAAAAAAAAAAATATATATATATATATATATAATTTTTTTTATCCACTTAAGTACATCTTAATATGTAATTTCATATTTGCTTTTGTCTTTTAAATATGGTTAGTACTACCGAATGCTATGACAAGTATTTATGCTTAACTAAAATTTCTAATAATTTAATTTCTATTTAAACTTGCAGGTCATGTACTTAAAAATACTGCAATGTAATTATACATTTAGTACATTTAAAATATAGTACATTTAAATATAATATTAAACACACTACAGTTAAAATTATAATCACATACTCTACATGTGCTTTAGTACTTCTTCCAAGCAAAAAATATTATTACAACCTAATTATTTAAAATGCACCTTAAAGTTAAAAGTTTAATGTACTTGAGTTTTAAGAACATTAAAATTATATCTCTTTAAGAACACTTAAGTTTCTTTTTGTTTAATAATATTTTATTATGTGCAATTCAAATTTTATATGGAATAGCTCACAAAATATTTTAGGATATTTGTTATTCAAACATAGATTTATAATATTTGTAAAAGACAGTTAAGTTGTGTAATACAATGTGCAAATGTTATTTAGAATGTTATTTATTATTGTTATTATTATTTGTTTAATTGTTTACTTATTATTTGTTTAGCTGAACCAATAAATAAATAAAAATAAACTAAATAAAATAAAAATAAAATAAAAACAGTTTCTCACATGAATGCACTGTTTTCTATGTGTTGATTCCCTTTATCGGAGTGTCTATTTACACTAAGTGCAAATAGCCTGCCTTGTTGGCAGAGGCCATTTACACTAGCTCCACCCACAAACGTGCGACAGTGATGGTCAACAACATAAAAGACGGCCAACAATCATCAGCTTCAGTGGCATAGTTCATAAAGTGCGTACCATAGTCTTTTTGACACGATCGACCCGGGTTCGAATCCGCCTTTTACCGAACTTTATTTTCTCCCTTTTCAAATCTCATATCACATCAGAAAGGCATTTATTTTCAATAAAAATGAAGGAAATAATCAAAAAGTTGAAAATAAAGTATCAGGTAGGGCAGGGGTTGGCAACCCGCGGCTCCTGAGGCGCATTCTTTCATCCCTCTGCGGTGGCTCCTGTAGCATGGGTGTACAATAAGCGGGGGAGGTGTTCCCCCGAACTTTTAATAAAACCTAAACTCTTCCCATGCATTTTTCTCGGGCAAGTGTGTTCACGTAGAGGTTTTCAGCGGCCAATGTGAATAAATCTAGATTTAAATTAAAAGAGACAATATAGTCACGCTGTTTTGGATACATTTATCTCATGCGCTGTAGGTTTCATTCATACTCGAAGCCGGAGGGCGCTCTCGTACAGAAAGTCCAAAACTGACTCATATGATAGAAGTAACTTTTGATGCCAGGAAATCCCTAATATGGACAAAGGCATCCCGCTATCGCTGTAGCTAAGCTGAATAACAAGCATAAACCTTAACTGATGAAACGTGAAGACAATAAACGATTGCGACAATATATGGTTTATGTGTGTTTTTCAAGTCTTTTATATGAATGATTGACATAGCATTAATTACAGTACAGAAGCTATAAAATATATGTTCTGCCTTATTCTGTGATAAAAATGGAAAACGTGTTTGTAGTATATAAACTATTATACTGATTATACAATCATAACCAAAAATTGTCATTAGTAAAATATATCAAAAATATTATAGAAGACAAATGATTCGTTATTGTCCAGCAGTGTATTTTATTTCTTAGCCAAATAAAAGAGATAAGAAAGTTTTTTTGTCAATTAGACATACATACATAAATATTATTAGGCCTATTATTATTATTATTATTATTATTATTATTACATTTGACATTTCTGCTCCCTCACTTCTGAAATGATTGCTACTCCCCTGCCTTGTAACATAACTGAATATAAAACTTTGCTATATGCTGTTTTATCTTCATTTTAGGGATTAAATAGGTTTTGTGGTTCCACGTGAATTTTATTCGGTGGGAAAGGGGCCAAAATGGCTCTTTTGATCGTTATTGTCCAGCAGTGTATTTTATTTCTTAGCCAAATAAAAGAGATAAGAAAGTTTTTTTGTCAATTAGACATACATACATAAATATTATTAGGCCTATTATTATTATTATTATTATTATTATTATTACATTTGACATTTCTGTCCCCCTCACTTCTGAAATGATTGCTACCCCCCTGCCCTGTAACATAACTGAATATAACACTTTAGCTATATGCCGTGTTATCTTTATTTGGGGATCAAATATTTTGTGGCTCCACGTGAATTTTATTCGGTGGGAAAGGGGCCAAAATGGCTCTTTTGACGTTGAAGGTTGCAGACCCCTGGGGTAGGGTTAGGGTAGCTTTATTGTCCCAGTAAGGTGGCATCCATTTAATAATTTGAATTAAAATTATAATTTACACTCAATACATTACTGTATACTGTTTTATAACGTACTATAATACTCAGGTGCAGATAATTACCACTATTTGCAGTAGTAGTATATTATAAGTAGTAGAAATAGCAGAAAATCCTGCTATTTTAACATAGTGTAAATAGAATCTATCGCTATCTGCACTTAGTGTAAATAGCATATTGTTAAAAAATACTGCTATTTTCACTTAGTGCAAATAGAATCCATTGCAAATAGCCGCTGCCTTTATTTATCCAATAAAATATGCTTGATGCATACAACTTTGGACTGCTAAACGGGTTAATGCACTGACCTACAGATAGATTGATTTCTTTTGCTCCATGTCCAGAGTCCGTCTTTATACAACAAAAATACGAGCCCATGTTTGCTGGTGTAGGATTTGAGATGGTTAATGTCAGTGCTTCTCCTGTGTAGTTGCACTCAAATCCTGGTGGTCTATTGCTGGATGTTGGATCACATTCAAAATCTTTCTCTTCTGTTTTTTTCCAGTATACTTTAACAATGTTCAATGGCGTTGATGAGCTGATATTGCATTGTAAGACAATCCTCTCATTGCAATTCACTGTCTGGTGTTTGAAAGCACGCAGCTGTATTTCACCTGCATGCATCAGAAAGCAATATTAGCATATGCTGACACATTTCTATGTATACAAACTCAGCAAAAAAAGAACCTTTTTTTTTTTTAAATACTTAATTTTTTTTTAGCATACTGTGTTTTAAAGATCATTTCATAAAGTCCAAATAAGCTTTACTAAGGGTTTAAACAATATTTTCCATGCTTGTTCAATGAACCATAAACAATTATTGCACGTGTTATTTACACATGTTAAGAAATTTGAATGTGAGAGGATGTTTCTTTTTTGCTGAGTGTATGCTAAGCATATGACATAGAATGGGATACAAAATCAAAATCCTTTTAAAACTCTAAAACTTCATTTTGTGGGTTAAAGGCAGGGAAAATCAAAGACATTCAAGACTTTAAAACACAGTGTATGTGGTAAAAACGCAAAACTATTCGTTACACTTACCTTTGCTGTAGTCTGATGACAGGATAATAATTAAAAATGGCATAATGACGAACATCTTTCCCCCCTTTCAGAATAGTGCTGGAAGTTGTTAGATGTGTGGAAGAAGAAAGTGGTTGTGAAAGTGAGGAAGAAAGTGTTCTCGGGCTACACTCTGACTATGAACAGGGGAATTTTCTCCGAGCTGACAGCATATAGTTGCTTTCCCACTCTATGGCAGGTTTTGTTCCTCCCTCTTTTTTATCTTCTTATACTAAACAATGTTAGACTATCTCTCTTTGGCTTAATGGGGATTTCAAGATTTCAAAAGTACCCATCATTTCTCTTATCAAGAAATTATCTCAAACATCCAACACCTTCTTGCATTTGCTCATATCTGGAATGTTACTGCATTTACAACAATATGATTTTTTACTTTGTTCGAAAGGCAAAAGTACACTTTCCCAGGAAATGTATTGGCCTCCCTCTTGTGTAATGAATTGAGAAACTCAAAACAGAAACTCGACAGCAGATCCAAGAAGAATCTTTGGAACTCTTCCACAAAATTGTCTTGGCTTTTGAGTTGACATGTTTTCAATATTACTTTGGCAGATGTTTTAAGAAATGGTAACACTTTAGAGTAGGGAATACATATTCACTATTAACTATTAAACAATCCCTAAATAAACTCCTAAATTACTGTTTGTTGATAGTAAGGTAGTAGTAGTAGTAGTAGTTAATGTTTAAGCATGGGATAGGGTTAAGGGATCTATAATATGGTCAGGCATTATGTGTTTTAAAAGTGCTAATAAACAGCCAATATGCTAGTAATGTGCATTCTAGTAAGCAGCTAGTTAATAGTGAATAGTGCTCCCTAAAGTGTTACCACATATTTCAGACAGACCTGTGCTGTATTGGCATGCTGTGGCAATGCAGGACATAAAGCTGAGGAGTGACTGAAGAGCCTTGATACAATGTTTTGACATTTAGTATTGCGTTCAGTTCATGAAATTTTATACAGAACTGGAACATGTATCAATATGACTGTATAAAATGTCTTTTTACTTGAGTAATGTCAGAATGTCCCTAGGGGTTCATTTTTTGCCTCTTTGCTTCATAGAGGCAAAGAACATTTAATTAATCATTATGTAACTAATCTCTCAAAGGGATCTCCCTGAGACATCTGTCTTCACAGGATAGAGGGAGAATTGGGCTTGCACTCATAGTACAGAGGTTCACTGAAGTAAAAAAGAAACACACTACCAACACTTAACAAAAAACAATTGGATACAGTCATTTTAGCACCTCAGTCTCAGTCAGAAAATGCTCTGAAAAACTTCTTCTCTGACCAGATTCATAGACTCTCTGAAAACATTAAGTTCCTCAATTGATTGCTGTTTATTATTATTATTTTTGAAAATCATCAGCTTAATTTTAAAGGGGACATAACACACACAGTTTCTGCCAATCTCATGTTAATCTTTAATACCTATAGAGATCCTTCATATCTCCAAAGAGTCTTTAGTTTTATCAGATTTATAAAAGACAGATACAGCTTTACGCTTCTCTCTAACAGTCGAGCTCCTGGAGGTATGTCGTGGGTGGAGCTAAAGAGTCACGAGCATGCAAACTTTTGTGTAGCGATCGTCTGCAAGCTGTGACATCGACATAAATAAAACAGGGACAAAAACTTTATTGACTTAAATTAACTATGGCTAAAGAATTAACGAATGAAGCATGTTGATGGGCTGCTCTTGCTCTCGCTCTGGTTGATGTGCACGCACTCTTCCGGGCGAAAGTGCCCATATAAGGAATTCCACCCTTTATGACGTCATAAAGGGCCATGGTCGAAAAAACTTTCCGAAACTTATTTGAACCCTGTATCTTTGGAACAGAAATACAGCATCATACGTCCAACTCTTTTTTTGAGACTTTGGCCATGTTTAGCATGAGAATCCAAATCATTAACAGTGTAGATAAGTCAGAATGCATGAAAAAGCATTAGACCTCCCCTTCAAGAGTTAAGGACACAGAACTGACACAGTTAATGGTGTCTTGTGTTTCATTGGTACAGTGTGGAATTGTCAGTAAAGACTCTTGAGTAAAGTAGGTTTATGATTTCACTGGAATGGACAGCGGGCTGTAAATGAGCAATAAAGAGGCGAAAGAAAACCTCATTCAAAAACAAAATTGTCTAATCAAATCCGATATGGCTTCAATGAGGGGATATTTTCCAAGTAATGCTCTCAAACTAGGTATTTTAGAGACATCTGTTATGAAATGCATTTTCATCCCACACATAGGATGCTTCTCTCTAACATGCCTTTTTATTCTGCACAGCCTGCAAAATCTGAAGCAATTGATGGACATGAGAAATCCTGTGTAAATGTTAACGTACTCGGTTACTAACGTAACCTTGGTTCCCTGAGATACGGGAACGAGTACTGCGTCTTGCTAAAGACGCTATGGGGAAAAGTGTTTTTTTCTCCTGAACTGAAGCCTTTTTCAATCACGCAGTTAAACTGCACGGCCTTTGGTTTGTGCAGTGTATTAAAAACGAACCAATGGCTCGGCAGTGGAGCTGCACGAGCCTATGGTGACAAAGCCCGCCAGAATGGGCAGGGCCATCAGGCTATATAAGCGGGCGTTCGCCACAGGATTCTCAGGTTACTTCGACTGAAGCGACGACTGAGTCGTGCGGCTACATAGCACGGCTAGCAACGCAGTACTCGTTCCCGTATCTCAGGGAACCGAGGTTACATTAGTAACCGAGTACGTTGCCTGTCGATACTTCACTTGTACTGCGTCTGGCTAAAGACGCTATGGGAACACAGTACAATCACATCGTGCTATGGTAGAGGAACGACTGTATATTATATTCTCCACAAGCAAGTAATGCCCATAGGGAAGTTAAACAATAACTCCAAGGCTATAGCGGGCTGAACTCCTCGAGGTCACGCCCGGCCTGGGTAATCGTTCCAGAGTACTCATACAACTTCGGCACCCCAGGGGCCGAGAGCCGACAAGTAAACTAAACCAAAGAGCTTGAGCGTGTTACGGTCAAGGACTCTCTGTCAGACTTGTTTGCATAACGCAGTGAGTGTCTCTTGAAGCAGAAAGGACCCTGGCCTGTAAGGCCGGGACTTCCGGGTTATAAAACCTAGCAAATGTGGACGGCGAGGCCCAGCCGACTGCCTCATAAATCTCCACAATGAACACACCGCTAGACCACGGGCAAGACGAGGCGATGCCTCTGGTGGAATGGGCCCGTACTCCGATGGGACATTGTAGGCCCAAGGAAGAGTACGCTAGTGTGATAGCGTCTACTATCCACCTAGAAAGTCTTTGCTTCGTGACCGGATGCCCTTTGGTGCGGTTACCGAAGCTAATAAAGAGTTGTTCCGACCATCTGAAATTGTGTTTAAAACTCGCTCTGGGAGACTTGTAGTCTCCCGTCGAGCGGCTAAATGTGCAGGGTGCACAGCTCGGGCCGAGGGTGCCATATTGCCCCGTCCGCTTGAGAGAGGAGATCCCGTCTCAACGGAATGGGCCAGGGGGCTGCAGTTGGTTCTTCCAGAGAGGGGCCACCAAGAGAACCTTGTGTCTCTGTTCCCTGATTCGCCTGATTACCTGTGGGATCAGGGCGATTGGGGGAAATGCATAAAGGAGGAGGTTGGGCCAATCGTGGGCCAACGCGTCCCTGACCTTCGAATAATAAATTGGGCAGTGAGAGTTGTCTTCTGAGGTGAAGAGGTCTACCTCGGACTCACCGAAGATCTCCCAGATTCTCTGAACCATCTGCGGATGGAGCATCCACTCCTCTGAGGGGACATTGCTCCATGATAACATGTCCGCTCCTCGATTCAATTTGCCCAGTATATGCGCTGCCCTCAGCGAGCGCAGGTTGAGTTGAGCCCATTCCAGAAGGCGCTCTACCAGAATGAAGAGGCGCTTTGAGGAGAGGCCTCCTTGACGATTTATGTAGCACACCACCAACATGTTGTCCGATCGGATTAGCACATGGTTTCCCCTTAGGACTGGCAGGAAGAACTGACAGGCTCAACACACTGCTAGTATTTCGAAGCAGTTGATGTGAAACACTTTTTCCGCTTTCGACCAATTGCCGAAAGTTGGTTTGCCCTCACACAGCGCCCCCAACCTGCGTTGGAGGCATCTGTCGTGACAACTTTTCTCCTGCAAATCATTCCCATGGCCACGCCCTGTTCCATCCAGCGAGAGTTCTTCCAAGGGGCCAGGGCTGTTACACAGGCCTGGCTCACCCTGATATTTAGGCGTCCGTGACACCACGCATGGGATGGAACCTGCGGTTTCAGCCAGCACTGAAGGGGACGCATACGAAGCAGGCCCAGCTGTAGTGCCATATTTTATCAGCATTTATTTTGTTCCCAGGAACGATATTCGCTGGCTGGGGAACAGCGTGCTCTTGGCAAAATTGACCCTGAGTTCCAGGCGCTCTAAGTCGCTGAGGATGAGGGTCCTGTGTGATATTAATTCTGCCTCCAACTGGGCCAGCACGAACCAGTCGTCGAGATAGTTGAGAATGCGTATTCCCATCTATCTCAGAGGGGAAAGAGCCGCTTCCATGCACTTTGTAAAAGTGCGGGGAGCCAGAGACAGCCCAAAGGGAATGACCGTCTACTGATAAGCCACTCCCTCGAAGGCGAATCTCAAGAATCGTCTGTGACGGGGGGCTATCTGGATGTGAAAGTATGCATCTTTCAGGTCCAGAGAAAAGAACCAGTCCCCTGAGCGAATCTGCGCGATGATCTGTTTCAGCGTAGTCATCCTTAATTACCTTTTCATGAGGGCGCAATTCAGGTGTCTGAGATCGAGGATGGGCCGGAGGCCACCATCCTTTTTTGGAACGAGGAAGTAACGGCTGTAGAAGCCCGTCTCGCTCTGAGCTGGAGGAACCTTTTCTACAGCTCCTTTTGCAAGCAGATTCATCACCTCTGAGCGCAGGACGTGAGCATCCCTGCTTTGCCGGGGTCTTCGAGCGAATTGGAGTGAATAATCTAATTTTATTATCCCCATAACCCATTATGACACTCCAGGGATGGCCTGCCAGGCCTCGGCCCGCATGGCGAGGGGTTGGATTAGCTCGAGTGACTGGCTGCACGGGGGCAGAGCACTCGTGAGAAATGGAAGAGGAATTTTGCTCTCTTTTTGAAAATGTTTGTGTTTTATTTTTCCCA